CAACCGTCATGGACCATGCCACCAATTATTATGCTTCACCAATGCATTTGCTGTTTCACCACGAGTTAATTTATCTGCTGGGTTTTCCGACCCTGGACAATATTTCCATTTATCAGGCGAAGCACAGTCTTGTATTTCTGCAACTCTATTCGACATGAACTGCTTCCACTCACGCGCTGACCCCTTTATCCACCACAAGCAAATTTCTGAGTCCGTCCACAGAACTAATCTACCTACCAAATCTTGAAACATTTTCAATAAATATTTCCCTAACCTAACTGCAACTACAGCCCCCATCAATTCCAACCTAGGGAGGGACAACTTTTTTAACGGAACTATCCTAATCTTCGACATTATAAACGACGTACATACATCTCCTCTCTCATTCTTATATCTAAAATATGCCACCGCTCCATATGCCACTACTGACGCATCACTGAAAATATGAATTTCAACCGAATGACTTTACTTAGAACTTCTGTAAAGTAGTACCTCTCTATTTTCAACGCGTTTGATTCCTCAATTTCAGCGCACCACTTTATCCATTTGCACCGTAACTCTACTTTGGCAACTCTGCAATCCCACTCCAAACCTCTCTCCCATATTTCCTGCATCAGTCTCTTAATTCGCACCACAAATGGAGAAATAAATCCGTCTGGGTCAAACACCTTAACTGCTGTGCTTAACACCGATCTTTTGCTATTTCTCAACGAATTCTAAACTACTCAACAATGATGTAACGTCTACTCTCAAACCATCCTCTTCTAAGTTCCACACCAAGCCTAACACTTTCAACTTACTATCTCTCTTAGACCTACTTTCTTCACACAACCCTTTCTGAAGCCCACAAGTCATACAGCTCTTTAGAATTAGTGTTTAGCTTTCTCAAATTAAAACTCGCGTCTCTCAAAATAGATACCGCCTCTGATGAAAGACTGAAAGCTGACTCTACACTTTCCCCTCCATAACACAAATCGTCTGCATACAGTGAGCTATTTAACATCTCGACACAGTTTTTGTTTGTTTCCGTGTATTTCTTTAAATGATATTTGATCGTTGCACTCAATAAAAACGGTGAACAATTACATCCAAATAATAATCTGTTCATTTGCATAATTTTAATGTCCTCACTGTCATTATCAGGATACCAGAGAAATTTTAAATATTTTTAAATATTGCCTATCTTCCTTTGCTATCCCTATCATCAAGAACGCCTTTTCTATGTCACCGCAGAATCCAGTTTTAAATTTTCGAAAAGCAAGAATGATATCCAAAATATTCGGATTTAGGTTTGGGCCTTTTTCTAAGCAATTTAACGATAGCTTTCCTCTTTCGCAACTGCTGCAATCAAATACCATTCGAACTTGAGTGCTTTTTTTTATCTTTACAGGACCACTGCTCGGAATGGCATAAAGTATGCCCTCTCTCGTATCCTCACACTCTTGAATAATGTTGTTTGTGTCTAAATTTAATTATTTTCCATAAACTGTTCCCTCACAAAGCTGTTACTTTTTAACTCTTGCCTCACCCTTTCGAACTGCTTTTTCGCTAAACCAAAATTATTTTCCAAATGCTCTGGACTCCTATTCCACAACAAGCGAGCCTCATTCAAATTGTTTAATTATTCTCTTATCCGCAGCGCTCCTTTCCGACGCGCACTCAAGAGACCCCTCTCCCAAACCTGACGAATCTGCTCCGATATTTTTAATTCCGTTCGAAATCGATGTGTATAAACAAACCGGTGCAGTCTGACCCTGAACTTAACTTTTTACTCTCTCTCCCCACTCTACCACTCAACGTCCAACCGAATATGCCTTTCGTGCAATACTAAATAGTCTGCTAAGCGATGTGTTTTTCCCGTTAAAATGCAGTTCAAATAATCATTCCCAATTAAAATCTGTTACCTGTGCCACTTCACTTTCGCAGCTGTCAGATAAGTGATATCCTTCTTGGCGAAGCTTGTGTATAATGCTGCAGATGGCCTGGGTAATGCATTGGAACATATGGTTTTTACTTCGAGTGCTTCGATGATTAGAGTGAAACTCGGTCTTGCTTTTTAAGGAAAGTCTTTTCCTTTTAAATTCTCGTACTTGGCGGATTCGAAGATGCAAATGTATGAAATCTTTATCAATAGGTGGTAAACTTGCTTTCCTAGAATAGACTTACAAACATAAGATCTTTTTTAAGCTGAGTCGCATAACAACTGACATTAAATGTGGAACTATTTCTAGCAGTTGGCCTCTCAATGTTTGATAATAAATCACGTCATTAGGAATTTGCTTACTCAGTGTTTCGAGGAATAGTGAACTAACATTTGTCTCTTTTGCTGCGCTCGCAGTATTTTTTACGGATTTATGTTCTTGCTCATTTGCATCACACAGGCTCCCTTAATGCGACATAGATTTGCAAATATTACATTTAACCAACTTCGCCTTACAAAATGTTTTTGTGACTTTTTTTAAAACAGAGCTTGCACTTAAATTGATCGTATAACGCTTGGTGTTTCTCTGAAATGCTTAAGTCGCAGTCTTTTGAAAGATGAGATTTAAGACAAAAGTCGCACATATAATTTTCAACTGATGAATTAAGCGTCGCCGCTGATACCATTTTCTTTTTAATTGGAGCAACACTCTTACGATAGCTGTCGACATTTCTTTCGCTTGATTTCGAAAGTGTTTGTTGATTAAGACCCGGAGTTAATGACTTTTCGCGCGCTTCTACTTCTCTCTTTAGAAACAACAATAAATCTGACACTGTTGACTCTATGCCGACCTTTTGCTCCCTTCCAAACTGTAACCCTAAATCTTGCGGTATACACTTATACAAAATAGGAAGTAATAAATTGCCATATGAATTAAAATTAATATCTAATGTCTCTAAACTTCTTGTTTGAATACTTGAACTTATACAAAATAGGAAGTAATAAATTGCCATATGAATTAAAATTAATATCTAATGTCTCTAAACTTCTTGTTTGAATTGTTATTTCATCATATAGTTTTCTTAAACTGGATACATCACTTGAACGACGTACTGGCTCCAAAGCTAGGAGAATGTTCATATGCGCGCTAACTAATATTTCTTTTTTCCCAAATCTGTCAGTTAAGATTTTGATGACCTTTTTATAGTTTTCTTCCTATTAATCTCCTATTAATGAGTAAAGATCTTAAATAGTTAAATTTCTCAACATCTTGAAGCGTATTGTTTTCGTGAAAGGCAGCTTTATCCTGAGCCCAAAATTCAGTATATTTACGTAAATCGCCGCTGAAAGTTTCTAAGGTAATGCGAGGTAACTTAGTATTATAACTAGTTTTGATTTCCGAAACTTGTGAAGTTGTTCCGGTTTTACCCACATTTTGAATATATCTATTGACTTTCGATTTACATCTAGTGATTGATTCTCTGTATTCTAAACAATGTTCTACTTCTGTCTCTAATTTCTGAACAGTGCTTTGAGTATTAATAACTTCATCATATTTTAACAAGCTAGTTTCTCTCTCGATTAACACTGAAAGCGATTCCTGCAACACTTCTAGGTTCGGATTTTCGCTTTGCAATTCCTCTTCTAATTTCTCTATTAATTTTGTTACACTGGTACAAACCGAACCTCTAATTTTTCTATTTCTCTCTACGGTTTCTTCAAAACTCATTATCAAAGATAAATTTCATGCACATATATTGGCCAAAAAAAGACACTTTCCTTTAACTAAATCTATTTAATGAAGAGAAGACTATGTACAAGTATTATACATAGATTACAGAGTATCTAGTTTATACCACTCTCATCAAACCCTCAACTCTCTCTGCTGAAAACTTTTAATTAGCTACACATACGTGCGGCACAGCGCCCTTTATCTGTTTTTTCTACAGTGTGGTGGTCTGCAAGCTGGGTGGTATTCCAGAGGTCCGCGGTTCGCTTCCCGCCGAAGGCATTGCTAATTTTTCAATTTTCCTGCTTCCAAAAATATACCTAATGTCTCTACAGTAGCGCTCGAATTAAAAGGATGGTGGATGATGATTCTCCCCACCCAGGATTTGGCGATTGACACCCCCTAAAAATCCCAGTCACCCTTTAAAAGGGGGCAGTATATAAGGTATGTCTCTTGCCTTCTTCGCATGCCTTCTTGGTGTGTTGGTCTGCACGCTGGGCGCGTATTCCAGAGGTCCACAGTTCGACTCCTGGCGAAGGGGTTGCTAATTTTGCAATTCTCCTGCTTCCAAAAAAATACCTAATGTCTCTACAGCACTATCACAGAATTTAATAAAAATAACCCTTTGAATTTAATGGCGACAAAAGCATGCTGTAACGTATTTTACCGCCTTCAAAATGTACTGTATATATACGAGACTTCCCCGATTTATGAACACCAAGCGGCCTATCCGCTCAACTAACTGAAATGAAATTTTAGATATTATTCCTTGAAGATATGCGCTCGAGGCTATGATAACTTAAACAACAGAGCTCTCACAATTACTATTAAAATAAAAAAATTTCGAAATTTTCGAATGGCAGCATCCATCTTTTCCTGAATATATTGATCGGTGCGTTGTAAAACCATAAATGGTGTTAGAACGATACACATATGAAGAAAGTTGCTGGCATAAAACATTTTCAAAGACTATCATTGTAAAGGATCAATGATAACAGAAAAGAGCGGGAAAAAACTTCCTATTTTATATATTTTATTTATAAAGCTTAAGCTTCTTATAATGATCTTTTATACAGAAATAAAGAAAATGAGCTTTAGAGGTCTAAGATTACATTTTCACTATATTATTTCTTTAAAAATAATACATAGTGATAATATTTGGTAACATTTGGCTTTTATCTGCGTTTTCCTACACATTTTTTATTTTGTATTCACTACATTATTTTTTTAACATAATATGTTAACATAACACTGTTACACGAAGTTCAGTTTTACTTGTTATATTAGGGTTATTTTTTTGTTTTGTTTGTTTAATATGTTTTATCTACTAGACTCTGTCTGCTTTTACAGATAATGGATAAAGAGGATGTTAAAGATCTGAAAGTTTCCAACTTGCGTTCTCATGCAGGACTTGTTTCTCAAGAGCCAGTCCTTTTCAGTTACAGTATTGCCGAAAACATTGCATACGGAGATAATACTCGAGAAATGGACATGAATGAAGTTATCGAAGCCGCTCGTCAGGCTAATATCCACAATTTTATAGTTTCTTTGCCGCAGGTAGGAATTTCAGTCGCTGCAATTTCTTTCTAGTTGAATTTATTAATTTTTAATTATTTTATTACTGCTTAGTATTTAACTGATAAATAGTTAAGTTGTCACGTCTAGTATTCTTAACAAGCATGAACTATGACGTCAGCAGACTGTGTAAAGAATTATCCCTGAATATGACAAAGTCCAGAGAAAGGGTGTAAAGGACCTTTTATTAACTTCACAGATGCCACCGACTTGTGTTTACCAAAACCAACACTTTTGACTTGACTCAAAAGGTAACAAGTAGCTTAAAATAGAATAGTATTAAGTTAGTCTAAAACGGCTTTTCACAGATCACTTAACGCGCAGGTAGGTTCTGACTCGTAAAAGTTGGTGTAAACAAACTTAATGACTAGAAGTGCTCAATACCTCAGAAATCTAATCTCTAATAAATCAAAAATAACAATGTAGCCTTCAGGCTGGCAGAATGCGCTTTCTCTCTCTCTCTAAATTCAATTTTCAAAACCTTCCTTTATGTACTAAATTCTTTCTACCCCTTTTTTGAATAGACGCGCATTACTTTATTCACATCCTGACAAGAAAGCGTTTGTCTAAACCGAGAGTAACAAGAAAGTTGCTTGAAAATAAAATTAACTGTTAAATAATTTAAATAAATCCCTACAAAATTTTAATTTCTAAGTGCAGTTTTTGACCATAGACAACATTTAGGATAACATAGTTTACTAGCCTTTACGTATAAGGATCCATGAATTCTAGAAATATACGGTTTGGTATAATCCTGGGAATATAATTTTTTTGGACCCTTTTACTATAAGTAACTCAATTTATCAATGTTTAAGAAAAGGGCAGAGGAAATAGATATTATTAAAAGATCTAAATTTTAAAGTTCATATGCAAATCGACAGATTCGTTAGACAATATTATAGGGGAGGTTTACGTTAGAGAACAGGTGTTTCTGAACTTGCGGTGAATTTTTGTCCTAATACATACGCACTGCAAACCGGAAATATCTTTTACTGATTTAAGTGAATATTCACTGAATCTGAAGATCACAATGAATGTGCAAAATCTGAACATAATTATAAGCAGGTGAGACCATATTAGGCCCAAAGAAAATCTGAAACAGAACTTAAATTAATTGCTAGATGCTAAGAACATTGCATTTTTAGTATCAGTTAAAAATTCCGTCAATTTATTTCTTTGTTTGATGAGGTTAATTGGTCCAATGTTCTGGGGCAGTGACATTTATTAAGGGCTTAGATTCATAGTAATCTTCAGAAAATCGCCAGGATTTGGATTAATTATTTTATTATTTTATCGTTTTCATTTTACAAGGTATCTGAAGACGAGACTACAGGATACTATATCTTCTTATTGGTTACGAACTCATTACTGATTAGCTACTTTCGTATTGTTAATGAATGTTTTAAATTGAGTCACATCGTGTAGGGGAATTCTTGAGATGCATATGGGTTAACTAAATTTGGGGCATTGAAAATTTAAGTATAGAGATTTTTAAATTATGCATGCATGACAAGGACGAAATACGATGTCTGAGCAGTTGGGAAGAGAGTGAAATAAGATAATTCCCTCTGGTGAGTCAGCATTGCTTCGCTATCTTTTCAATTGTTCATTTTTCCGTTATTTTTCTGTAATTTTCCTTAAATTTTCGTTTAATTGCATTTCAACTTTTGCATCTCAATTGAATTTGCTTTCCCATAAGTATTAGTTAGGGCTTGGGATACAAATTTCTTTTATTAAAGCTTTCACTTTTTCTTTTATAATGTTTTTCTTTTATAATATTTAATAATTCTTTGCAAAACGTTCTTCTCTTATTTTACGTTTTGGTTTTGAATTCTAAATTTTTACTTTATAATTATGTCTTAGTTGATTGGAATTAATGCAGACTACAAATTATAATTCCTAGTTTTTACTATTGGCATTTTTGAAAGGGGTCTTCCCATTTCATTCATTTGATTTTATGCATACAATAGGTATGAATAATAAATATACAGAGCATCTAAATTTTGTTTGTTTAGAAGCGTCAAATACTCTTGTGCAACCTTCTTGATTTATTCACAAAAGGTTACCTTTACCTTAGTGATTAAATAGAAAGTTATTCTTTTTAAAGGAAAAGAGAAGACGCAGAAAATTTCTAAAATACAGTAACTAAAATTCCTGGTTTCTCTTCTTGTGATGAATCACAAACCCCAGCACTTAAATATGTGAAAGCCTAAGTTTTCATTTTTAGCGTGTAGGTTAGTGTTAAAGTGGCATTATAATAAAAATTCTAATGCATAGCGAAAGCGTATCACGCTCGCCAACAGAAGAACGTATCATTTAAATATCAGGTTGTCTTTTTATTGGAAGAAGGCAAATGAAGGTGTGTTATTTTTACGTTATGTTCCATTTTAGCGTCACTTTGATTAGTCTTGCTTAGTTTTCTTTCTTCAGAATTAAATACTTCTTTATCGAATGTAAACTTTTGAATCATGTGATATTTGGCATTCATTTTGTGATGTTATTTTTGCGTTAAATCTGGGGTTATACATTTCTTAAACTGAATGAAAAGAATTGTGGAATTAATTGAAGGGCAAAAGATAAACATTTCTCTGAAGTTAAAAGAAAACAATAAGGGAAAAAAAGAACTTTGCGCTCTATAAAGGTATTATTAGGTATTAGAGAATGGTATACTAATGGTAATATCACTCTTTCCGAGTGATATTACTATCGGGTAAAAGTATTCAATTTTTTTATAACAAAATTTAAACCGGCTCAAAAAAAAAAAAAAAAAAAAAAATCATGTCTATTATTTAAAGAAAATTTGTCTAACATAAATTATAGAAACTTGCTTAATTAATAAGCGTTCAAAGATTTTTACTTAATTTGGAATCTGGGAGACTGTAAATGCAAACACCCTAAATAAGCATTGACTCAGTTGGTATATACGCGATGTATTTTAGCTACCATAATGGCTAATGCCAAAAAACTGATGTAGCAGAACTGGGTGAGATAACAGTTCTACGGCGGGCATAGCTGCCGAAAGTTCTCTCTCTAAAACTTACAAAAATTCCGATATAATTACTCGTTTGCTTGTTACTCTCCAGAATGTTAAATAATTTAAATATTCGTGAGAGCTAACGAAAAGAAGTGACAGTAATGTTCCGTATAAGAAAATGGTTTAATTAACGTAAAATGATACTTCATAATATTTCTTATTTGCAAAAGCCTTTACTTCGTTTTCAGCTGAAAACTTATTAACATGAGTGTTAAGCAGTTGATATTTAACTATTTTAAAGTATAGTTAATGCTCAGAACAATAAGGACTCATCAGCAGTCGAATGAACAAATCCGCTGAACTCTGAAAATTCAATCCAGATACGAAACCCTTACAAACGCGATGGCTGCGTGTGTATTTTTAATTTTTGACGAAATATGAACCCTGCATTAGAATGACCCTGGATAGGTTTTTCTGCAGTTATAACGGAAGTACAAATACGTTTTTCCTAGGACATCATCCACGAAGGCATATTTCTGTTTAGGCAGAGAGCTGTCTCGGAGCTTTCCTGTTTGTATATCATTTTTAATTTCTTTACGTTATGTTTGTGGTAGTTTACGTGTTTTATCACAGACAAAAAAGGAATTTTGAGCAACGTTATGTGGCAAACGTATGCATGAAATTCAGAAAATTAAATTCTGAAATAAGACTTTTTACGGTATGCTCTTTTATTTTAATCACATGTCTTCAAGTGACATAATGCGTTCAACACAATATGTCTCTTACAGGTATGGTACACCTTACACACACACAATAAAAAAAGAGGAGACAGTTCTATATCTCTCTTTCTATCCCGATTGACGAAATTTAATTTTTCATGTCTCGAAATCATGACTTAACATATATAATTAGATTTATATATACCATTGTTCTAACATAGTTATTTTGTCACAAAATTGTATTTTTTCTGAAATAGCATACCTTTTTTTCCATATTTCGATTATATGCCTCAAGTGCACGAGCGGAATAAAAGGTGCATCGTTCATTCTTTCAAATACACTCTTTTGAAGAAAAAAAAAAAAAAAAAAAACCAGGCGCCATAAAAGAAGTGGCTATTTTTGATGATATTGAATATGTGTATAGCTCATACACAGCCAATAAAATGATTAAAAAATCAAGGTCATAGTACCTGTTCACGACTCACAATCAACCATTGAGTGTTCAAATTAGTAGTTGGTCGAACCGCCCCTGGCGGCAAGGAGTGGTAGAGGTTTATAATGGCATCCTGCGACGCATTCTGCCAGGTATTCATCAGTTGTCGCTCCAGATCTCCGATACTTTGCGGTGCCCGAATCTGGCGGCCTACTATGTCCCAGACATGCTCGATTGGTGAAAGGTGTGGTGACCTTGCTGGCCAAGGAACAATATCATCCGCACAGAGATAGTCCAGAGATATGCGAGCGGTATGTGGCCTGGCATTATCTTATTGGAAAATGGCCCCAGGATGATGTGCCGTGAAGGGTATTGCAACCGGCCGCAGGATGGTATGAACATATCGTTGAGGTGTTAAAGATGTACGGAGGATGATTAAAGATGACCTTCTGTCATAAGAAATAGCGGCCCACACCATCACACCAGGAGTTATGGCTATATGCCTTTGTAAAACAAAGACTTACTGGGATTGCTGGCCCTGTCCTCTCCAGACACGACCACGGTGGTCAACTGCTTCAAAAGTGAAGCGGGATTCATCGCTGAACACTATACGATGCCAGTCTGATGGCATCCATTATAATCGGCTGCGACACATCTCCAGGAGACTCCGCCAATGTTGTGGGGTTCAACCCACAGATTTTGAATATCTTAAACACAACTTAGAGCTACATCCTACATATTTTTACACAAAATCCCTATTGGGAACCTTTGAACTCAATAAATATGAACTCACCATATATACTGATGGTTCGAAATCTGAAGCAGGCGTTGGTAGTGCATATTGCGCATTCCGAAAAAATTCAAATATTAAAAACTGGAATATTCGTTTAAACAATAACAACTCAGTTTTTCAAGCAGAACTTTTTGCAATCAAAGAAGCCATATGCTTCGCAAAAGAACTTTCTTTACCATCCTTAATTCTCTCTGATAGTGCATCTGGTATTCAAGCTATAATTGGACACAGTCGATCGCCTATTGTACAAGAAATCCATTTTCTACTTTCTCAATTTCAAAACAATAATAGACCACATTTCAAATGGATTAAAGCACACATCGGTAATAGTGGTAACGAGCTCGCAGACGAACTAGCAAAAGGGGCTGCAAACAATTCTTCTTCTTCCTTCCAAATTACTCAATTCCATATCCAATATCATTACTAAAAACAAAATTAGAAACAGAATTAATGCACTTATGGAAGCAAACCTGGACTGAAGCAACTACCGGCAGAAGAACTTTTACTTTCATATCAAAACCTTCAAGATCATTATTATCTACCAACCGTTCAATTACATTTTTCCTAACAGCTCATGGTCCATTTCCAGAATACCTTCATAGATTCGGACTTCAGCATACAAATCTCTGTACCTGTGGTAATGAAGGCACAATAGATCATTATCTCTTTCACTGCAGCCTTACTAAAGATTATCACCTTAAAGCATACAATTTAACTTCTGCTCAGTTATGGTTTCAACAGTTATTAAAAAGTAATATTCTCAGAAATAATCTTCATAATATAATAAATTATATCTCCGCAAACATCGATAATCTTAAAGGAACTTGAAATCATTATTCTTTGTTCATTTACCTTACTTAATAAGCCATTCTTCTTTACTACTACCTCATTTTAATGCTTTCACTCAAGACTATCTTTATTTAAACCTTCAAGATCTCTCAAGCTCGATCAAGAATTTAAGGATATTTTCTAACTCCATCTCCTTAATATATTAATAAAGTCTCAACTCAAGATTTTTAGTCAAGTCTTTTACTCAAGAATGACTCTCTATCAAGAATTTCCACGAACTTTTCATTCAGGTCATCCTAATTCATTCAAATACTATTTCTCATCAACTTTTATTCAATTACTACTGCTCTTCTTCATTCTCCATAATGAAATACTTTACTCTTTACATATCTTACATTCTCAGCCTCTACTATTCTTATACATTATGTTGTTCATTTTCAAAATTTGTAATGATCATCTTAAGTATTTACTTATCTATTTACGTTTCATTTACTTTCATATTTCTTTAGGTATTATGTTTTTATATATTTAATTTCTTCAATTTTTATTATATAATTCTCAAAATTCTGATACTTTATTTGACTTCATATATAACAACATTGTATTTATCTTATTCTAAATTTTTAACTTTTATTTATTGTATCTATTTATGTTTATTATTTATTGTATTATTTATATATTTTATTTCTTGATATTTTATTTTTATTATGTAATTATCAAAATTCTAAAATTTTATTGTATTTTACATAACAACACAGTTGGTAGATGATTCCATCAGTTGAGCGTAAAAGCTGAATGTCTTAAAGGCGGTGCAGCTGTTCATCTGATGGTAAATAAATAAATAAATGTTGTGGGGTCAAAGGCAAACGTCTTAAAGGCCTCTGTGAGCATAACCCCGCCTCAGACAAGCGCCATGAGATGGTGGACGGTACCACGGGAGGTATAGACGTGGCTGTAGGGCGTTGAATAGTCGACAATGATACCATTGGGGGCCGTTCGAGCCTGGCGAAAAATCATCCTATCTTGCCTCGCATTTGTGCTCCTTGGCATTCCAGAGCCTTCATTTCCTTGTTGCAACCATTGCTACCAACGTCTTTGCATAGCAGTGTCTGTAAGCTACAGGTGGTGTTTTATTGCTCGGTATGACCACCCAGCTTCACGCAACCCTAGACTGCGACCACGTTCAAAGTCGTTTAGGTGTCGGCAAGGTCTTCGATATCGTCTTAATGGCTTCTTTAGTTGCTTCTTTACGGAATTACAATGGCAGCAACAAAAAAAGATAAATTTTCCGCCTCTGTTACTGGTTTTGTACTTTGCGAAATGTGCACTAGAAGTGAGCGCTGTGATCGCAATTTCCCTGTTCATTTGCCTTGAAACTTTGATCATTTGCATGTTCGATCAAGATGTTTGTGTAATTTCGTCACGATCGCAAAAGTCCTTCTTGGTGCTTCGATTTTTTTGCAAAAGAGTGTAATTCTAACAGAGTGCGTAAATCTTATTTGTTGTTATTATCGCTTATAACAAATATGCCAAATTTCAAAATGCGCCAGTATATAAATTCACATATCTTCGAAAATTTTAAATAAAAAATTCTAATCTTTTTGCAGGTGCGCCTAGAAATACATCTACTTTAAGAATTTTTTAAAAATTATTATAAAAATGCAAATTTTTAAAACAGGTTAGAAAATAATTGCGAATATGATTTGGGTTCACCCTAAATTTCGAATTGTGAAAGAAGGAATCCAGTAAACTTAATAAAAAAGAGATATTAATAAATATATACCGTATTTAATTAACACTGAGGAGGTAGAACTTTCAGAGCTAATTTTTTAAAAACTGCTCTTGCGTTTTTAAAAAGCCTGGCTTAATTTGTGGCATAGAATCGAAATATGAAAAAATAGGTATGTTGTGTTTCAGAAAAAGTTCTTTTTGTGTTAAATACGTTAGAACAATGCTATATTCAAGTATAAATCTAATATATCCTAAAACGTGCTTTCGAGTCATGAAAAACGCAAGTTAAATTTTGTCAATCAGCCCAGTAGAGAAGAGCTATAGAATTGTCCCTCCCTTCCTTTTTTTTTTTTTTTTTGAGCAAGGTGTACTTACACAAATAAGATAATGTTTGAGAAAAGAGATAGGCGTGGATTTTGCGAAATTGCAAACACATGGCTTCTCCATGACTAATCACATTTCATTGCCAATGAAAAATTTTCAGCTAATAAAATCACAGAGCTTTTCTGTTGACCATCAAGATATGACCTAGCTGACTGGAAGTTTTTTATTTCTTAAGTTCAGAAATCTACTTCAGAAGATATTATTTTGAAATAGCCGACAAGGTCCATTGCGAACAGGGGTCTGAAGCATCTAAAATGGCTTCCTCTACTGCTATAAAGAATGTCAGTAATCTTAGAATTGCCGTACTCGTTCATGAAGTGTCTATTGTGAAAAGAATAAACTGTTATTGAATGCATGTTCAATAAATACTTTAAAAAATCATTCTCATTACTTTTGCGCCCAGCAGCGACCGAGCAGTCGCTGAACCTTGGTAATTCGGTCTGAGGTTTGAATTCCGCGAACGGGTTGGTCGCATGGGCGTTTTGTGGTTTTTCCTAAGTGTTACGTGTATACGAGCCCGTTGAAAGTCCTCCACGAACGCATCCCTCCCCATAGGTAGATAGCCCTTTGCAGTAATCAAATAAACGAAATTTTGAGGTGATGTGCCCTTTGCACATATGCATGATTTTATACTTTGCAATATTTAATAATATATTTTACTCATTGTTTTAAAAGATAGTGAACAAAATATTTTTTTTTCTTTCGACGTACGTGTTTTACAAATATAGTTCGTATAATATTGTAAGTAAGATATAAAGATAACGTCATAAATTTACAGTATAAGTTTCATCAACCATTTGGAATGCAAAATTATTTTTTTTTCAGCAGGAACGTAAATAAATAAATAAATAAATAAATAAAAAAAGGGTAAAGAGAGGAAAAAAGGAAAGAAGAAAAAAAAGAAAAATAGAAAACCAAATCAAGAGAGGAAACTTATGAAAGAGTTCTTGTCTACTATTATTTTTCTTTTCGTTTATGGTTTTGCCTCATTGCTGAAAATCAAAAAAGATTTTATTTAATACAATGTATAGCACGTCACGTGTTACCTTTTTCCGTCCTGGCAGGTATCGCATTGTCAGCGAAAATTAAATAGCGGTAAAATGGCACGGCAGCGGTGTTCAAGTAAAAACTGTTATCGCCGTTCCTCGGCATACTTAATAGAGTTGAATGGCTCTTTGCGGCAACTTTTGCCCAAATATAAAATCGATACAACTGTATCAGACTTTGAGGTATCCACAAAATAAATGTTTAGTTCTAAGTAATTATAGTAACGACTTCCTAAAGGGTGCTAAATGCTATTACAATTATACACAAACTCACAACTTCGGGAGTTGGAAACAAAATCTAAATAGCTTTAAAATTTTCCTGATTCTTGCATTTGCCATTCATTGATAAAGGAATATTTGAATATTCTTATCTACAGAATCATCCTATCGCATATTTTGACCGCATCCTGTTTCATGCAGCCATTTGTCGAGATAATGACGACATAGATATATATTTTTCCATGTGCTTTGCATTTTCCGGCTAATTAAAAATTCATCGATATCTGAAGTACTTCTCTTTGTTCAGGTTTGCGATATTCGATGAAACAAATAAAACAATGCGGGATGATCTATGTTCTAATTCACTCGTTGCATGCCTTGCATGCAAAATTTTGAGTCGATCCATCAGCTAGAGTCAGCATGTAATAAACGCACAGAAAACGTAAATGCGTAATAAACATACAACATACAGGCAAACTATAGATAACATGTATGCATAATAAATATGCAAACAATATTATACTTTTATATGTAAAGAGAGATGCTTGCAATCCATATCCATCTTTTAATAAGTAATTGATTTTTTACTTTTACCTGTTTACATTTCTGAACAGTAATTTTTTATGAAACGCGAATTTTGCGTCTCCTTTAAGGGCTATGATACGTGTCTTGGAGAAAGAGGAACTCAACTTAGTGGAGGCCAAAAACAGAGGGTAGCTATTGCTCGAGCGCTTCTCCGAAATCCCAAAATTCTTCTGTTGGATGAAGCAACATCAGCTCTTGATGCAGAGAGCGAAAAGGTAAGACTTCTTAAAAAACGTGCAAGAATAAATGCTCGATATATTTAAGATACGGTTATTTCTAATAGATTCACCTAAGTTGAAAAAAATCATAAATCTAAAATGCGTTTGATACAGCTAACATAGAGCTCATCAAAGACTAGCTTCTGTAAGACGTGCTTAAAATACTTGAAAGGCACATTCCTACCAATAGACAAAATAACATAGCATAAAAACATTTTAAAAATGAAGTATTGAATATTTTGTATAATTTTAACATAGATTTACGTTCCTGTATGGTGGTCTGTGGATTACAGAAACGCTTAGATCTCTAGTTGAGGAATAAAACCACTGAATAATAGTATTTTCTTCTTTAGTTCAGAATTAGACTGCTTAAAGATATTTTAACAATAAATTAGTGATCTAAAATAATTCTCAAGACCGAAATATGCAATGAACTTAGGGATAAACCTGTCTCAGAACTTCTCAGATGTCTTCTAGTGTTCTCAGCTTTCTAAATGTTTTAGCTAGGATTCAGTTCTTAGTATAAAACATAATTAACAAAACTAAAATTGATAATTGAAACTCTAAAATTTTCTTATGGAAATGTTGAATTTTCGTTAAAAGTGCGTGTAGTAATTAGTGTATTAATATTGTTCGTAATAGATTGAAGGCACACAGTACCGATGATTGATAAAATTTATTTTATCTGATTGATAAAATTTATTTTATCAAAAGAAAGACTTCACAGTTCTGGAACTTTCCATAAAAATACTCGTACAGTACTTCATAGTATCACAGATCTCAATCAGAAGTTAGACTTCAAACCACTATGAACGTTAAATACAACAGAAATGAAAAGTGCATCTAAAAAGCGAAGTTCTCTCGGATATCCGAAGTCGCTCTTAACTAACAACTAACAACTAAGAAATTGGCGCACTCTCCGGTCTTATATTGTTGTTTGGCTTCTCGAAATTACTGCAAAGCATCTGAATGCCGGATACGGTTACAGTTAATATAGAAATTAATTACAGTTATTCAATGACAATATTCATTACTGTAATACAGGAACCAGACCAAAATGTAGCCAAATTATAGCCAAGTTTGACAATTTTTGGCGATTTGACAGAAATTAGTTGCCTAAACCGTTGCTAGGTTGGCGATGTCTCGACAGTCTAGCCTGATCGCCATTTACTCAATGTTAAACAGAGTTGCCCCTTTATTCTTATTTTTCTGGCAGAGCATCCTTTCCCTCAAGCTTTTCTTGTTACATTATAAAGGAAGAAATACAGCAATTTCACATGCAATTTCCTTAAAAATTATCTATTTGTGTACAAAATTCATAAAGTTTGAAATGCAATGATTTATTGTAAAGTATTTTTCTTGTGATTTATGACAGTCATATGTGCATTAATATAACGAAAATAACGTTCTTCTCATTATAATATTGTAGTATATTGTAATAAGATACTGTGAAATTGAGTAGCAATTATTATTTTTAAATACCCGTAAGTCCAAATTTCAGATTGCCATTAACTTTTATTAATAGTTTATTGTATAAAATTGCTGAAGTCTCTTTCACTTTTATTAGTGAATTCAGAGAAATTTGTACTTTTTTCTTAGGTTGTTCAGGAGGCTTTAGATGAAGCTAGGACTGGAAGAACATGTTTGATCATAGCCCATAGGTTGACTACTGTTCAAAATGCTGATACTATCTTAGTCCTACATAAAGGAAAAATAATAGAAAAAGGAACGCACCAAGAACTTTTAAGTAAACGGGGACACTATTACAAGCTGCAAAACAGTCAAGCGGAAATATTAAATTAAATTGTTGAAATTTATCAGCATGGAAAAAGTTTCTCATTGCCACGAATATACATAAGAATCTTAACAAAAGTTCTAGGAATTTTATTGAAAGAGGAAACATGTCTTTCATTTTATAACACTAGCGATTTTATTTAAAAAGAGCGTACTGGAATAAAATCAGATATATTTATGAAATGTGTACAATAGTGATTCTCAGCTGGAAAAGGGAATTGCAGAATTTTTAGCGGGAATGTTTGTCAGCCTTTTATTTACCTATTTAGTCACTGATTATGAATGTAAGAAACTACGTTTACTCATGTTTTGTTATTTATCAACATTTTCTTGTTTAGTTTACAAAACACATTAAGAATGATCTAAATTAAAATAAATGTATATGTATTTTTGGAACGGAAGGGAGAATTGATTATCTAGCAATGGTGAAAGGGGTGCATGGGGCTAAAAATGTTGAGAACCCCTGATGTACATTGTTCTAGAATTTCTGTAATTTGTGCATTTTCGGATCCTTCTATGTTTCGAGCGTTTGTACATTTTTTTACAATAATAAAATAAATGGATATTTTTTTAATTGTAATTTATTAATAAACGAATTATAAAATGTCATTTTGAATGGATGAAGGTTTTTACGTTTTACACTGTGACTATATTTCTAATCAGTATAAGTCATAACAAAACTCTTGTTTTTTAATTAACTCACATACATACAGAGTGTTTATAAATGAATGGTGCGGTTTTAAAAATTAATAATAAATCAATGTATTACTTTATATGGGCAAACCTTACAGCATAAGCAGCGGCAACTGTCCAAGTTTTTGATGCACTAATCATAAGCTTTCAATACATGCATTCTTGATCACACATCTATACTGTAATGAAATTCTTCCCATACTCGGTGTAGCAAGTCCACCGTGACGTTCTGAAAAGCATGCTTTATCTGACTGCAAACATCTTCAAGGGACACTGGTAATGGCGGTGCATAAACTCGATCTTTAACAAATCCCCAAACAAAGAAATCGCGTGGTGTTAAATCCGGCAAACTGACGGGTGGCTAAGCGAGAATTGTTATCTTCTATTGCACTATATTCAAACCAGCGTTGATGAAGAACACGATTAAGAAGCTCTCGTACATTCCTGTGGGAATAGGACAAAACACCGTGCAGTTGCAAAATATAATTATCATAATTGGGTTCCGCTACAGTAACAATCAGGTTTCCAACATGGCTAGAAATGAGTCAACAGCCACAGTTTCTTGTTCGAAGAAAAATGAGCCGTACACACTCTCGTCAGATACCGCACAGCAGACGTACGCGAAACTCACGCTGCACTCAAACCACAGATCTGGGCACTGGAATTCTTGCAGTGCCATCTTGAAAACAGCTACTGCGGATCCACAGTAAGAATAACAGGCAAACAGCAGGTAGCACATGAGAAACGTGGACAGTTGCCAATGCTTTCGGTGTAGATTTTACACGCTAATACATCGATTTGTTATTAATATTTAAACCGCACCATTCATTTATAAACACCTAGCATATTTGCGATTAATTATTAACACTAGAAAACATAACTGGATTTAAGTGTAATGTGCGGGTAGTAACAAAAAGTCGGTCGCGGACACTTAGCTAACAACTACTTACCGAACAGTTGGTTAGCCGACAGGAGATTTAGTCGACGCGGACGTTTAGCAAACAAAATACACTCATGTCCATAAATTAAGAATAATGCAAAATCAGGCAAAGGAAGAGTTAGAAGCAAAACAAATTTGACTTACTTGTAAAGCTTATTTATTAAACAAAAGGTAAAGAGCAAAAAAAGAGGCTATATGTTTGATATTATTAAAAAAATTAGCGATTCTTTCTCCCTGGAGCAAATTACAAAAACACCTATTTACAAAAAAGCAATATTACATGGTTGGTATGACTGTTAATACATTGTATATCTCCCAGACGATGCAATACAGTCCGTACAACGCCCTAGGCATGCTCAGTATCAAATTATCGATCTGATCTTGGGGGGATATTACACCACTCAAAAAGCAATGCTCTTCGAAGTTCCAGTAGACATGTAGGAGGAGGTTGACGGGGCTGCAACTCGTCGACCAAGCATGTCCCACACGTACTCTACTGGATTCAAGTCCGGTGAGAATGCTGGGCAGTCCATACGGGTGATATCCTCCGATGGAAGGCATTCGCTTACGATGTTTGCACAGTGAGGGCGGGCGTTGTCATCCATAAACACAAATTGTGCGCCCATGGCGCCCCGAAACAAACGTACATGTTGTTCCAGAATGACGTCCCGATAGATTTGGATTGTCATGGTTCCAATTTGAACATGCAGGTCAGTTCTGGAACCCAGAATAATTCCACCCCAAACGAGCACTCCTGCACCACCGTAACGGTATCGTTCAATGATGTTTTCTTGGTGGTAACGGGTACCTGGAGATCTCCATATGAAAGTCCGGCGAGAATCAGACTGCAAGCTAAACCTGGACTCGTCGGAAAACATCACAGAAGCCCACTGTTGCGGTGTCCACAATGCATGCTCTCTACTCCAGGCTAACCGCAGGCGACAGTGAGTTGCAGTAAGTGGAACGCATCTGACAGGTCTACGAGCATATAGACCAATCTGGCTGTAACGTCTACTCACATTACCATTATCTTGGAATCGTTGCCAAAGCCTGGAGATGACACTCTGGGCAATTCCAAGTTTGTCTGATACTTCCAGTTGGGTACGCCCACATTCCAGACGGCCGATAATTCTATCACGTAAAAAATTATCCAAATGCGTCCTTTGTGTCATAACTATTCGGTTATCGCACTGAAATGCTTATAAAGCGCCTGCGAACAATTTTACTTCTTTGCCTGTATTCCTTATATCCTCTTACACTCTCGTCATTGTGACGTACCATCTGGTTACTTCCTGTAATTTGCATATGATTCTTGAAGATGTGTGTAGTGATTTTACAGGTGATATATTTATCTTAGAGTTCGATTTCCGCGTGACTCTGAATTATCCTTAATTTATGGACATAGTTTATTTAGCCGATAAGGCATATAGATGACGTTATATTTAGTAGACACGGCACATTTAGTCGATAAGCCATTTAACCTACAGGATGTTTAACCGTCAATATGTTTAGCCGACAGTACGCTTAGCTGACAACTTGTACGTGCAGACCAATCATGCAACAAAGTTTAAATATACATAATTTATCCATTTTTATCCAACAAAAGCCAGAGTACACAGAGGAAAGATTTATGGACAAGTAACCACATTTTTATATTCATTAAGTGCTATACAAAGTATAGATTTTAAAATTAGACAGAAAAACAACCTTAAGTTGGCATAGATTTTGAAATCAGTTTCGAAAGCGGTCACGAATAGGTCTCTCTCTTTCAGAAAGACTAAAGAAAATTTCAGAAATAGCAGAATCGAAGCAATTTTATGTGCAACGCAATGGGTGAAGCAAGGCGAAAACGAATGCGATATTTCGAGGTAAATAGTAATGAAAAGTGAAAAACCTAAGATACTGGAATTTTGAAAACATTGAGAAATTAATGTCATTAACTAAAGAAGAAAATTTTTCTTAATGTGAAAGGATTCAAAGAAATCAAGTTTAGTAACTGAAGAAGATGTTACTTACGAATAATGTTGGCCGATCCAAAATCACAATTATGACTAAGTGTCCAGTTGTGATTAGCGGCCAAAAATTTGTATATTTCTCCTTACGAATTTACCATTCATGTTCCATGATGAAAAACTTTCTACTCTCTTTCAGTTTGAGTTCATGACCGTTTCGTTTTTATGATAACGAGAATTATTTTTTCAAAGCTTCATTTTGTGTCAAAAAAGTCTTCAATGACGTGTTTGTGCTGACATTATTTTTTAATAAAATTATTTATAATAATTTTCCTTTACTATTTTTAATTATTTAATCCACAATTATTTTTGATTGACCTCTCATTACTTAATAGCAATTGATTTTTGATTGATTCCAGCATTTATTTCAGACAGTATCTGAAAAGATACTGAAAAGATGAATTTTTAAAAGCTAGAATCGAACAGCTCAGAATCATCTCAGATATAGTAAGCAAATATTTTATCAGCAAACCATAGACCAGTCGTTTCGAAATCTTTCCTTTGACCTTTCCTAAAGAATTTGAATGGGAACAGTAGTAAGCTTCAACGACAGAGCAACGTCGTAGTCAGATGAAAATGAGCGCTGGGTACTATGCTTTTGATGCTTTGATGTTTTATTCTGGTGTATAGTAGAGAATTACCCTGCTGTTTACCAGATCAATCAATGATTGCTATTAGAGGCCTCACTGTTAAAGGCTCTTCACAACTGTATCATCATAAAAGATGAGAACAAATGAGTTGGTACGGTCAGGTATTAGCACGGTGACCATTGCTAAGGCTTAATAAGTGCTTTAATTCTCCCTTTTTTTAATAACAATAAATGTTGCATTTATTAATTCATTTATGGAAATATATAGCCCACACATTTAAAATTAAAGCGTAATCTAATATAATATTATACTAGATATGTTAAAATAATGGTAACTATTTATTAAACACTTGTACGAAGAAGAATTAACTATTAAACTAAGCAGGTTTCTGTAAAATCAAGCAATCGTATGTAAAACATACTGCAGAATAAAAATTTCAAGAAATAAATAACACCAAAAATTGATTCTCTAATTTTTAAACAAAAGATTTACGCTTTGTACTTCACTAACTTTTAAAGCAGGATTCATTCTCCAAGAGTATCACTAGCGTTTGCTTACCACATACTGCCGTTGTTTCAAAAGTCGCCTGAGCCGAGTACAATAATTTTACACTGTGTCTAAGAGAGCTCCCTTCGTTTACTCATCTTGTTTGCCTTGTCGACCAGCCAAGACAAACATGATATCCATATGCTAGAGTAATGCGCTTGCGCAAAAACGTTTTAGCTTGCCCAATATTTTATACCTTTATATACATGAGAAAGGAATTGCAAACATGTTTGTACATTATTTTCTTCTTTTTTCTCACATTTTATTAAATTTATTATCTGACATTTTTTCTTTCCACTTTTTTTTCATAAATTAATGCTTCTGAATTTTTATTTTAACAAAATTAATTTCTTTCATTTGCCATATGGGGGCATGCTTTCGTGGGGCTCGTATTCACGTTACACATGGGAAAAACCACAAAAACTAACGATGCAGCCAGCCCGTTCGTATTGGATCGATCCCGGTTTGAACTATCTCTATTCAGTGGTCTTAATCACTTGGCCACTGTTGGCCCTGGTATTGCTTTAGATCGGATTAATTGTCTATGTAAAGGTCTAGTACTTTTCTATACTAACAAAATAATGTTTATCCTTAGAGGCTGATAGGGTAGAAAATAGAACTTAACCATAAGCAACACGCAGCCTATGTTACTTTGCGCTCATATAAGTGCATGTAAGCTCAACAGGCCTCTGCTAGCTGGTACCAAACTTAGAGATTTGATGCTACGCCTGAAAGCGAATACAGATCCCAACATCGAGTTGTTTTATCACCTCATTTGTCTCAATTTTGTATTGAGGAATGTACTAAATAGGGTTGTCATTCAAAAAA